CTGGGGATCGAACTCATGCAGAAGTGGCTTTAGCTTCTTAGTGCTGTGCTGAAACCTGCTGCGCCACCAGGGAGGACCCAGGGTGATACAACTTTTACCTAGAACAGACCCAAAGCGCTGGAATAAGCCGGTCCCACTGAGGCTGCACTTAATTGTTCCCGAAGTCTGTTCTGTGCCTTGCTGAGCGCTTCCCGGGGTCAGGGGCCAGACCTTCGTTCTCAACGACCCAGCACCCAGGAGATGCTCAGCAAAACCCCACAGCACAGCAGGGGAACCCCCTCTAGGAGACTGACTCCACAAGGATCCGCCATTCCCCCTTTAATATTTCATCTTGAGGTAACGTTGCGTTATAACACTATGCAAATTTCATCATCACCAGTCAACACCTGCACTTAATGCATGGCGTTCTCACTGAAAGTCCACTTCTGTTCTTCACCGAGCAATGGACCCCTTACTAATTTTCCTTCCCCTTTCCCTCTGGTAACTGCTAATTTGGTGTTAAAACTAAACATTTATTTTTGGCTTATTTCCGTTGAGGTCCAGGCTTAACATAGAGTCTGTCACTTGGTGAACTTGCCGGAGGCCACACACTGTGTGGAGAATGAAGAAGTTGCTTTCACAGCCTAGCGGGGTCTTAATTCTCCCCGTGGCCCAGGATGACAGCTCAGGAAGAGCCCGGAACCCCTAAGTCACTGGGCTAGGAAATGCCTCCGTCCCGCTGGGCCAGGGAGGGTCCTCTTCCAAGACAGGAAGTCCTCCCTAGAAAATGGCCAGATGTTCCCATTCCACTTGGAGGATGGCAGCTGCACCCCACCCTGCCCTCCTGAGCTGTGGGCATCCCCTCAGCCAGTGTGTGCGGTGGGCGAGCCCGGGACGCGGGCCCAGGAAGTGCCGCACCCTGGGTGTGTGAGCTTGAGCAAGTAACTTCCCAAAAGTAAATGATGGATTTATAAGGTTCCCCTTCTGCTTAGCCCCAACCCCAAAGTGTAGCGGCCACTGCTCTTCAGGCTGAGACAGGCTCGACCCTTCCCACCCAGAGACACATCTCAGCAGCGGGGTACCACGCTCGGGGCTGTTCAAGCTCCTCCCTCTGGATTCAGACCCCCTCGCCCTCTGCATGGGGTACCCTTGCGCGGTCAACAGCTGGAGCAGCCACTCAGGACAGCCTGGCTATGACCCTCGGACCCGAACCCTGTATGAGACTCCAGTCGTGGACCGACTTCCAGGGCAGGTAGGGCTGGAGCCGACCTCCGACCTCAGACACTCAGCTGCTGTCCTGATCGTGTTTCTCTTTTTCCTGCGCGGTCTAAGACTGTATCTCCCAGACTCGGTGTCCACTGCTATGAAACAGCCTTGACAAATACTGAATATTCATTTCATGTTCCTTAAATCAGGTGGACCCTACATGCTTGCAGATTTAGTGAAATCATCAGGAACATGTACAGTTCCTGTTTGTTTCGTGTTCGGCTTCGTGCACTGAAGAATTTGGTCAACACAGTTGACCAAGGTTCAGAGTTACGATCATCGGCAGGCAGGTGTCGATGCTTTCTATGGATTCTCAGGGATTTGTATTAGCTTTTTTTTTTTTTTTTTTAAAGATTTTATTTTATTTGTGCATACAGAACTGGGGTACAGGCCAGAGATGCGGTGGGTGAGAGAATTCACCAGAGACAGAGTGGAGTGCAGAACAGGCAGATCAACGAAATACACTGCTGAGGGGAGCAGCGGGCGGGTCAGGAGAGGTCTGGCTCGGCATGAGGTCTGCTCTGACCTCCGGGGCAGGCGGGAATCGAACTCATGAGGAAGCGGCTTTAGATTCTCAGTGCTGTGCTTTAACCCGCTGCGCCACCAGGGAGGCCCTGTATTAGCTTTTAAGGGGTCGTAATGGGATTTTTATTAGTTTAAAAATACAATTGAATCTACAAAAAAGCAAAAACACGCCTTTTTGGGCCAGCCCCAATTCTCTGAGAACAACTTAACGATGAGTTACCAAAACACACAAACCCCCCTGGGTGAGCAGGGCCTGTGGCATTTTCTGAAGAAGGCGGCAGGGCTGTTTGTGTCTGCAGGGCCTGGCACACTCCCACGGAGGAGGGAGACTCCACAGGGACTCTGAGCCTCAGCCCCAGTCTGGGGTGGGGGGCAGGGCTGGGAGGGGCGGGCGGTGCCTCGACCCCCACTGTAGCCAGCGCTGGTGTCTCCAAGCGGGTGGGAGCCGCGGGTGCCTGGCAGAGACTCGCTGTCTGGGTGCAGAGGACAGAGCTCGGGCTGACAGGAGACTGGACTGAGGCCAAGTCTGGCAAGGAACAGATCCAGATGGGCCCGAGGGAGTGGGTACCAGCGCAGGGGACTCCCCGCCTATCAGATGGGAGGGTGAGGTGCCTTTGGCAGGGACCTAAAATGGCATCAAGCAGCCGCTGTCATCTTGGTGCATCAGAACCTTCCCGAGCACTGGTTCTGTGGGGACTTGGGGGGAGGAAGGGATGAGGAGCAATGTCTTCTGCTTCTTCGGCCCTGGGATGCATTTGGCACTTGGCTAGGGTCACGGTGAATTCCATATTCCAGCCACAGCCTGGTCGTGAATGGCCTTTTGGCGGTTACTTTGTGAGAGCTGGGAAGCCCCGAGGCTGGGCCCCTGCCCAGAGGGCCCAGCCACAGGGAGGGGCTGGAGCTGGGGCATTTGCCTTTGTGCCCAGTGCCGGGAGGTGCACGCCCTCCCTGCCAGTCCTGAAGCAAGCGCATGGAGACCCCGGCTCCCTGGCTCTGGTGAGCTCTGGGCCCAGAGCTAGGTCCTAGAAAGCTGGGGCCCTCAGCCTCCCTAGAGAGTGTGGCTCAGCAAGCCCCCTCCCACTGAGAGCCAGAGCTGACTAGGGTGACGCGGGCTCTGAGCCCCGCAGCCCGGCGGCCCTGCAGCCAGGACGCAGCCTCAGCACCGTCGTTACCATTTGTGATTTGTGACAGTTCAAGGTGTGAGGCCTTCAGTGTGGCTGGGTCTTGCTAGACAAAATTGAGGGGGGCAGAGGGAAGAGGGTAGGTGATGTGCTTTTTTCTAGCTGTCAGTGTAGCCAGGGCTTTCCCAGAACAAGGGACAGAGGTGGGCCCCAGACCCAAGGAGCTGGCACCCTGATAGGATGAGGGGGCCCACGGCGCTGCTTCAGCCTGGCTCCCCGGGAAGGGAGAGGGAGCCTGGCTGGTGGCCCTGCCCCACCCAGCCCAGACCCCTGGCAGCCAGACCAGGACGCCGCCGTGGGACATAGGTGCCGCCTTCCCTGACACGCAGCTCTCTGTGGGGATAAAATCAGAGGTCACAGCAGGCAATGGACAGATCCGTCCTCACGCACCTGCCACCAGCCCTGGAGGAGACAAATCTGAGCTTGACGGGGCCCTGCTGGGAGCGCTGTGGCGCTGTGCAGCCTGAGGTGGGTACCCTGGGCCCGTCAGCGCCTGCTGTTGCTAGCTCCTCAGGCCCGTGGGTCCGTCTTGGGGCCGTAACGAAGCACAGCAAACCCAGTGGCCCGAAACAGCAGGGCCGCCTGGCTCGCAGCCTGGAGGCCGGGAGTCCTCCTCAAGGAGCACCCCCTTGCTCCTCTGCTCTGGTGGCTCCAGGCTGCCCTTGGCTTTGGGGCGGCATCCCTCCAGCCCCTGCCCCTTCGCAGGGCACCCCTCCTCCTCCTCAGTATCTCTCATGAGGACATTTGTCTCTGGTTCAGGACACACCCATCTAATCTGGGGTGTCTTATTTTGAGACCTTCCACTTAATGACATCTAAAAAGTCCCCCCTCTTTTGTCCCAGGTAAGGTAGTGTTCAGTTTGGGGGTGCTGGGCTGGGGTATCTTTTAGGGGGACACCACTTAACCCACCGCAGATAGTAAGAGCTAACATTTGTGGGGTCCTCACTAGGTGCCACAGACCCGCCTGATCTCACCCTCACAGCCACCCTCTGCGCTGGGGTTGTCCCTGCTCAGGGGTGCAAACAGGTTAAGCTGCTCAGTTAAGCTGCCCAGCCGGTGAACCAAGTCAAAGCCAGCTGGTTCAGCCCCAGAGCCCAGCTGTCCAGCTGACCGGAAGCTCCGAGCTTCACTATCCGCGGGAGGGCGGCGGGCATGGGCTGCCTTTCTGCACCTGCACAACGTTCCATGTCCTGCCGTTCTGGAAATGTCACAGCACACAGGACCCACAGCGCCCACATCGGGCCTGCCCTTGGGGCTCTCAGGTCCCCTCCTGCTGGGGGTCATGATGATGTGTGGGTTCCCCACCGCTGAGCAACTCTCTAACGCCAGCTGGGAGCCCTCCGCTCAGTCCCGACACTCCAGAGAGTCGGAACCCACAGACAGGGGCTCTGCCCCGCTAGACAGCCTCCCTCCCCTCCACACACCAGCTCCAGGCCCAGGGGCCTGCCAGCGAGGGAGCCCAGAGCCGGCCGAGGGTCCAAACTCCCCCTCCTCAGGCTCGGTGGAGCTCACAGAAATATTTCACTTTAAAAACAGCAAGATGGAGGGCCTTCCCTGGTGGCGCAGCGGGTTAAAGCACAGCACTAAGAAGCTAAAGCCACTTCTGCATGAGTTCGATCCCCAGCCCCGGAGGTGACCCCATGGCACGGCAGACCTCTCCTGACCCGCCCGCTGCTCCCCTCAGCAGTGTACCTTGTCGATCTGCCTTTTCTGCTCCCTGCTCTGTCTCTGGTGAATCCTCTCCCCCTCCGCATCTCTGGCCTGTACCC